AGGGGGGGAGAGGCGGGGGGGTAGGCTGACCTGCCCCAGGCGGGTTCTCACTGGGGATACCGCGTTTGAACCACGTGTGTAGAAATCGGTCCGTGCATTGTGTAGAGCCTTCCTCCATCCCATCTCCTCCCCCTCCGCTGCTCTTCGAGGGAAACTACATCCAAACGGTGAGATGTAGGAGAGCGCGAATCCCCGTGAATCCCATCTGAATAAATGTCTATATTAATGAATTATTAACTCAGCCGCTCATGACCTTAAAACTGGAATGAGGAGACGCCTAGGGCAAGAAGGAAAGCTGCTGAATCCTTTATCGGACTCCTGTCAGAGGTAACCGACCATTTGTCTTCCCCAGATCAGGAGAATTAATTAATATGAAAGGCAAACTTTTTAATTGTGTGTCAAACGAAATCAGATAGGGTGTCCCCGATTCAATCCCTTCCTAAGAGGGGTTTAGCTCTCTTTTCTACCCCCAGCCTAAAGTAGAGCCTTCAAGTTTCCAAAGAGACGAGCATCCTTCCTAAGGGTTATTTACAAAACAAACAAACAAACAAACAAACAAAAAGCAAGCAAAGAAAAGAAAAGGAAAAGGAAAAAAAAATCGCAGGGAAAATGATGAATTTGGGTAGTTAATTTATCGATCTTGGCTCCTCTTCCCGCTTGTTTTATTTTAGAGGTCATTAATCAATGAAGAAAAACACCACCGTGTTCCCCCTTTGCATTTAATACACTTACCCTCCTTATTTATTTATTTTGAACAAATTCCTAGCAAATATTCACCAATCGATTCGTAGGCGATGGATTTTTATAAAGGTTTGATCGCTTTCTAAACGGTCAATGTGAATTGTTTCAGCGCTCGTCCTCTAAATAATGAAAAAGCCTGAGAGAAGAGGAAGGAGGAGGCAGTAGTTAAAAACTCCTTTCTTTTCTTCTGCATCTTTACGCACAGAAGTCACATCCAGGAGGAAGAAAAATAATAATAATTAAAAAAAAAAAAAAAAAGCCAAACCAACAACCAAGAAATAGTAACAAATGGACTGTAGACGAACTCGGGGAAGACAAAAGGGACGCGCAGGCACCGCTCTGCCCGGGGAGGCGAGACCAGAGGTCAGGCTTGGCTACAGCCACCCCGGGGAGGGGCAGGTTCCGGGGCTGGGAGCCCCGCTCGCAGATTTGCTAAGTTCTGCCCTTTCCGAGCGGGCGAAGGGGCCGGGAGCGGTGATATTTGGAGAGCTCTGGGACCGGAACCTTTTTCTGTCCTGACCAGACCCGTCGCTGCCTTTCCCCGCCATCCCGCCAGGGCGGGGAGCCGCGCTCTCCCCGCTGGCCGCTCGGCACGGCGACTGCCCCGCTGCTCGCTGAGCTTCCCCGTCGTCGCTCTCCTCCTTTGCCAGCGCGGGTCGAGTGAACCCGGCGCAGCGGGGGTGCTTGTCGTTAAGGAATAAAAGCCAAACGACGAGGCTTGTTGGGTCCCGCCGGCCCCCGCCAGTCGAGGGAGGGGGAACGGCGGCCGGGG